TTAGCTTACCAGCTCGTGCCAAGACTGGATTAACTCGTAGATCCTCCAAACCCAAAAAAAGATACAAATTACGTTTCTAGCCCGAATGACATTTTTGGAGCCTATAAGTTTTTTTGTGCCAAAATTAGTATTACGTTACACCAGCAGACGACTCAAAAAATGACGACGTCGTCACTTCACGTATCTAGAGGTTTATAAATAATTCAAAAGCTTCATCATGTGCAAAAGAATAAGAATAAGAATGACTTCCATAGTAGTGTAAGCGAGTTTTTGCGCAAAAGTATCGGTTTGAATGCGTATTGTCAAAAGTGCTAGTACTCTCGCATTGTTGTAAGGTCAACTTTAAAACTTGTACGAAATGCACTTATGAAGGGGAAAGTGGATGGTGCTTGAGGCTCAAATCTGATTTGAGGACTTTATGCGTTTTCTTTGAGGTGTCGGAATAAACAAATCGATCTGTGAATTTGGTCAAAGAGGCATGGCAACACAAATATTGAAAATGAATATTTTCTAGTGATTTTGTTGAACTGGTTTACTGCTCTTGATCCATTAATCAATACCAAGAATTAAAATAGTACATATTTCATAGTGCCCTGTACTGAACTAGTAAGTAGTCGAATTTTATTCTTGCATTATAGTTGAAAAAAATATAAAATATTGAGTCGATCCAAAAGTTCTTTCCGTTTACTTCCGACTTATCGTAGAAATGCGTGGGAAGAAGATGAGCAAACAATTCAAGATCTATTCGATGCAGTTTTTCTTGCTCTTTCTAGCAGTCATGCGTGGGGACCATTCGCTCTAGTGACTACTAAAATAATTGCAGAAATGTTGAAACCATGGTTTTTATCATGCCCAGGTTTGGCAATTTTTCCATCTTTTATTTCAAACTTTTGGAAGAGCTTACTAAACAGCTCGATAGTGCTAACAAAGTGCTACTGTCTAGTTTTTTGGGGATCTCCAGCTGACTTTCCAAGATAACCAGAATTACATTTTTGATGCCAACAAATTCCAAATTTGCTTCAAAAAATTTTCACAGAAGATTAACCGAGCAGCGACTCGGACAGAATCCGATGCAGCTTTTTCTCCTCTTTCTGATAAGTTTTTTTCCTAAGTTTGTGAAACGAAGATAAAAACGCAGAAATGGTAAATTTTTGGGCTCGCCTCTGTACCCGAAATTTCTAAACTCGACATTTCTGAGCGGGAAAAGTTCACTTGCTTTGCAAAATTAGCGAGAAATGATAAATGAGTTTTAGGAAAGTTGAATTCCGACGATTTCTCAGCTTGAGATGCGTTTTCGTATTATAGGACTTCCCAATTAGACTTTTGGGAAGAAATTTTGTGTATTGCACTTTGTTTACTCTATCCGTCTGCTATCTACCATGGCTACTTCGGAAGTTGAGGCTTAACATTTTTGAAAATTGCCAAACTTGGGTGTAATAAAAACCACGGTTCGAATTTTGACCAGTCTTTTGGTGGTTAAAAGAGCAAATGGTTTGGAAATATGACTAATATGACTACTGAAAACAGGAAGAAAGGCTGCATCGAAAAGTCCTTAGAATATTTGACCATTCCACGTATTTTTACGAGAGGTCGAAAAAACGGAAAAAACCTTCCGACCTCATATATGAACTTGTTATACTACACTTTTTCTCCATTATTCCAATGTGCTTACGAGCAGTATTCTTGGATTTTTTGTTCACATATCTGTTGATTTTTATCAAGAAATCCCATCAAGCAATATAATTTTGCTCGGGCTAAAGATTCGGGATTTTTACGTCTTCCATTGTCTAACTATTCTAGTATTTTTAAGCAGTAACAGCCAAGAATCTTGATCGACCTCCGGGAATATTTTTAGGATGCTTTCAAGTAATCTACGGGATCATAATTCTTGAACTTTAACACATTCACGACAATACGAACCACCGGTGGATCGTATGGAAGGTTTTGATTTGGCTAGTTTATAATGAAACTTTTGGTACTCAATAAACTTCTGTATGAATCTTTTGGAATACTTCCCAAAGATTGACACTTCAGTGGGCCCATCGGTGGCCAGAAAATATTGCGCAAACATAATATTGCGAAAAATAGCCTTGTCGTGAATGTGTTATACAATGGGGAAGCCGTGCCTTTCTTGAGTTTTCAGAAAAGAAATTCTATCAATCAGTCACGTGTAATGCATGTTAAGTGTAAGATATTTCTTGAGCAAATTTACAACTTAATTTCAAAAATCATGAACAATCCAAGGCAGGACATAATGTTGCGCCCCCATAGTCGGAAATTGTACCAAGTCTCATACTAGTTCTCTAAAGCAAACTCCAGCATGAATTAGCAAACAGCAAGCCCTTCTTTTTCACGAGTCCAAAAACTTTCTGACTTCATTTACAAAGTACCTGTTTGTTCAGAGAAAAAAAAA